GGGTGCACCTAACTTTTGTGCTGGTGCGCCTAAGAAAAAATGTTAGGCGCACTGGTGCTACCAGTGCAATAAGTTAGTCTAGAGCCCTGTTGAGTCAGATTTGGGATGGCAGTAGAGCACAGTGATCTCCAACAAACAGAAAATTCAAATATTTATTTAAATTGGACAGCAAGCCCTTTATAGTTTCTCCGGGAACTATTCTAATTCATTTTTGCATCATGAATTTAACCTGATTATAACCATGTTACATTTACAGCACCACATCATATGTTAACACAGAGCTCTACTGATCAGTTTGCTGAAAATATTTCCAGCTCAGCTCCATATTAACACTCAAGCCCTTCTATCTTAGTAAAACCATGTTTGAGTCGTGCTGAGGCATCATTCTGCAAGGCAATGAATTTCCACAACCTCTTGGGGCCTTGTTCAATAACTGAACAAACATTGTAACCTCCTTGAGAAAAGGAGAAGTGAGAAGAAAATTTCCTCCCCTCAGGGTTAGCACTACAGTGTATCACAACATAAATCAGTAAAGAGACAAATCTCTTCCACTACCCTTTACGATGGGAGTCCATCTTAGTGAGAAGAAAAAAAAAGGAAGTTGACAGACACTTAACAATTTACCTCTCTGCACTGTTCAGTTTGAACACAGAGGTAAGATCTGATTTTGGAGTTTGTTTTAATATCATCTCTGTTTAAGTCTTTTTGTATAGTTAATATATCTGCAATGCAGCGATACAGACTGTAAAGCTGTACTGTTGCTTTTAATGATTTATTATTAGGAGGAATCTGCAAAGCCATATTAGATGTGTGATAACAGTAAATAATGTTGAGCTCACACTCAATATTTTATTCAACCATGTTTCTGCAAACACAATAATTCATAACAAACATTACATTACCTTTTTGAAGCATCTCACAACAAGAGATGCTTAAAATGTGCTAAGTATTCATTTTTTGTCTAAACATAAGAAATTACAAAATAAATAAATAAATGTAAACAAGCAGAATAGCTGTGGAGAAATGTCTCTCCGGTGAAGAGAGACGGCTCTAAGTTAAGAGAAAAACATTTTCTAATCAAAATAAATAAATTTTGAGGGTGGAGATTTGTGGCCTTATTTTGAAGACTTGTGATGATATTAAAGCTACTAACCACCATGGCTCTGATGTTGAGGGCCTGTGAGGGATTCATCTGACACAGCTGCCTCAGGGCTTCAGTCCTGCGCCGACCACCCACACTCTCCTCATCCTGGCGCTCTCCGTTCTTGATTAGACCTCTGCATACTACAGCCAAACACAGGAACATTTTACCAATCACCCTAACACTAACATGTTGGGAAGTTTCAATCAGATGCTCTGTTAAAATACTATATGTTTTTATGTTTTTACTATATGTTTTATATATGTTATATGTTTAATACTGTTAAACATACTTTAAATCTAAGGTTTTCATACATTACTGACAGTTTATTTTCTCTGCTGCTATGGGCCAGTCCTGTGCTCCATTAGAAGTACACACCACAGAATCATAACTTATTTGCCACGGGGGGTAAGAGAACTCTAATCCCATCAGGAATGTACTCTCTCATTTGTCTTCAGCTTCCCTACAGCAGACTGCTTATAAAGTAAAATATTATGGCTAACTAAGACTGCGGTATTTTCTGTAATTGTATTAGTTTCTATCTATGCTGCTTAAAGGAAAAACAGCCAGTGGAGTTTAAGCCCGACTATCAGCTGGTGCTGAAAATGACTGACCTTGATGCTTCTAGACAGGCCCATCTCCAACACTTCACCCTTCATTTCACTTTCTCGTTAATGAAACAAGGTCTTTTTCAGTAATGAAGCTTAAAGAATTCCTTGATGCTAACTGCTGTGTAACAAATAAATACACTATTGACTTAGCTCTGACCCTGTGTGTGAGAAGGAGGCACTGGAGACAAGTGGCATTCTCATCCTTTAATTTGTTTCTCAAGCAGCTCTGTGAGTCAGAGACATGAATGTTTATTATCAAAGACAAATACATACACCCTTGGGCCTGTGGCATGACTACAGTAAAGAGACAAATTAGCTAAAGCTTTGAAAAAGCTTAATACATAAAGTGGCACTTGATTAATGCATTCTTTTAAAGTATATTAGAAAGTTGTAGTGTGAAGTTTCAGAGGCGGTGATGAGTTAAAGCCAGCCTCTGCACCAGCCAGCACTCTAACAATATGAAATTAGTACAGGTAATTAACCAGCCCCACTGCCTTTACACCATCACTGGCAGTCGATGCGGCTCTCTAAGACAGATAAAGTACCTTCATTAAAGCTGTCAGGCACATTGGCAACCAGCAGGCACAGAAACCAGTCACCGTTGCGGACATGAAGCAAAGCCTCTGCCACGTCCACGATGGGCAGCAAAGAAGGCAGTTCTGGGAGTGAAACAAGAAAACAAACATTATGTAAAACATTAGACACAACAAACCTAAACAGAAAACTACAACTAAGATTTACAGGATTTTTGTGTGTGTGTGTGTGTGTGTGTGTGTGG